TAAAGGTAAAGGTAAAGGTAAAGGTAAAGGTAAAGGTAAAGGTAAAGGTAAAGGTAAAGGTAAAGGTAAAGGTAAAGGTAAAGGTAAAGGTAAAGGTAAAGGTAAAGGTAAAGATAAAGGTAAAGGTAAAGGTAAAGGTAAAGGTAAAGGTAAGGGTAAATGTAAAACTAAAGGTAAAGATAAAGGTAAAGGTAAAGGTAAAGGTAAAGGTAAAGGTAAAGGTAAAGGTAAAGGTAAAGGTAAAGGTAAAGGTAAGGTAAAGGTAAAGGTAAAGGTAAAGGTAAAGGTAAAGATAAATAATCATGAAGGCAAAAAAGTAAAGTAAAGATAAATAATCATAAAGGCAAAAAATAAACAAATAAATGTAAAAGAGGAAGAGAAATGTAAAAATACGGATATGAAGACCAAGATAGAGAGATAAACAATAAGGTTAAGTTCAGGATTAAGACTAAGTTTTACTTCCTACACACACAAAGCTTTTTATTTTATCTTATTTCAATGCTCGTGCTTATCAAATGTTTGGAGAAAACCCAATTCTATCTTAGCCCATTATTTTAGATCTTGTCAACACGAGGGAACTGCAGAATACGAATCTAATGGCGCAAATTGAAGTCCGCCCGGAGATGATGTGTGTTCTTATTTTCATAAAAAAAACAAGTAAGTAAAGTCTAAGTTCGGGTAAAACCGAACTTTATATACCCGTTGAACATACATATGTATGTGTGTATGTATTAACAAAAATAAAAATATCGCGTTTTCACATTTCTGTAAACTAACATTACTTAATAAATGAGCGTGGATTCCCCGATTTCGAACATTGTAGATAATATGCACAGTCAGAGCTGACACCCATTTTCCAAAACTTTATATTTATCTTATTTTTTGCTGAGAAGTAAAATTGTAAATATAAATTTTTAGTCAATTTGCTTCAATACTTACTAAAATATGGCAGTTCTTGTTTATGTGCATACTACCCTTACATGGAGAGTAGGCGTTGTTACTATCCGATTTTGCCTTTTTTCAATACCATCCATTCCTAGTCCAAGAGAAATTCGCGTAACAAGTATCGTTGAGATATCTAAATTTTTCCTCGTGCCATCGCGTGCACAGATGAACGGACAGACGGTCTAGATTCCTTTAGCTGTTACAAACAATCGTTATGCGAACAAAGTTAATATACACTTGTGCACAAGTGTGCTCGTGTATAAAAAGTTGGTATAAAAAATCTCTTTAACCGACTTCACAAAAAGGAGGAGGCTATCAATTCGTCGGAACATATTTTTATTTTTTTTTTTATGTTTGTTTTTTGTTATTTTATGGCCTTAAAACAAGTATATTCAACAATTTTTATTGAGCTCGAGGTCGTTTTTAATGAAAAATTATTGTGGAAAAGCAATAATAATTTTGAAAAAATGGTAGAAGTGACAGCTATTTCGGAAATCACCACATTTCCTCTTTTGCTTTACCACAATAATTTTTTAATTAAATACGGCCTCGAGCTCAATAAAAATTGTTGAATATAATTTTTTAATATATGCTACCGCATAACTTTGGACCACGTTAACCGATTTCAATAATTCTTTTTTTTATAGGAAAGGTGTTACTCACAGGTGGTCCCATACTAATTAATCCGACTATTGGATAAAGAAGAAATTAACGATAATCCGGAATTTTTATATGGGAATCGAAGTTGGTTTTGTTTTTTGCTTAAAAATTACTTGTTTTTTTTTTAATGTAGGTATGCAAGTGACAAATTGAAGAACCAGAATGAAGCCTAATAATGACATTTGTTCCTTACCACAGGATTAAAATTGTTAAAAGTTCTTGTTCGCACCTATCGAAAAATAATACATTTTATTACATCCTTTGCAGCTATGGTATCTAATGTAACTGGTAATTGTTCGCAGTATTTTGACCTTCGAAATCCATTTTCGCTAATTTTGTAAAACGTTAACTATTTCATTTGAATGCAATAACGTGATGAATTGTAGACGTTAAAACGTATCGCGCAAGAGAAGCTTTTTAAAGCTCGAACGCGCCCAACACGATATATTTATTTACATTAGGGTGGTCCAAAAACATTAAAGTCGGAATTGTAATGCTCTCACCCCCTAGGATTTTTCTATATCGAAAAAGAGTATACCTCTACTTTTTATTTTGAAATAAAAAAAAAATATTTAGAGGTCGCTCAAAGCGCTCAAAGTTTTCCATGTATTTTTATATGGGAAACATAAATTTTTTCGTAGAAATGGTATAGAATTCTTGAAAATCAATATTTTTCGATCGGAAAACTCTGGTTCTCTTCAGGAGACTTTCAGTAATAATACCCAATTGTTTATTTAACCATTTTTTAATACTAGCGATTTTTTATTGGCCGCCCCATTGCATTTTGCGGGGTTTTGGGCGAACCTATAAATTATAGTTGCAATTAAAAAATGGTTAATTCAACATTTGGGTAGTGTTATTGGGAATCTCCTGCAGATAAACAGAAAAATATTGATTTTTAACTATTCTATACCATTTCTACGAAAAGTTGTTTTTCCCCATATAAAATGCAAGGAAAACTTTGGGCGCTCGAGCGACCTCTAAATATTTTTTGATTTCAAAATAAAAAATAAGGGTATATTTTTTCGGTATAGAACGATTCTAGGGGGTGAGAGCATAAAAATTCCGACTTTTACTTTTTCACATGCATTTTTGGACCACCCTAATGTACATATTATGTATTTCGCTCGTGACTGTCCTAAATAACCTCGAAATTAAATTTTGTGCATTCCCGACAGGACGTGTAGCAGCTTTTATATGAATGTGTGTTTCGGCTGTAAATTAAATTTCCCAGTCGACGAAGTTTCTGCATACTTAGGAACGAAACTTTCATAAGAGGACATTCTACGAAAGATAATAATCCGCAAGCTCAAGACTAATACGAGATTTGTTTGGGATATATCTACCGTAATTTAAACTGACTCGCTTATGTATGTATATACATACACTTACATAGGTGCAAAATTGGGTCAATAATAAAAAACAATCACAGTTTATGCTTTTTCGGTAGTTCTTTGACAAAATTGTTATGAATTTTTTGATATACATGTATTAGAATATAGTTTAGAGCTCTAGAATCCACCATAAAAATATCAAATTTCGCTAACGTATATGCACTCCATCAATTTTTGCAAATTAACACATTGACTCAATTTTGCACCCAGATAATTTACAAGAGATAATTTTTCGTCCTTCTACCTCGGATATTTTCGGCTTCCTTCCACCGTTTTCTTTGCCATCTGCATGTTAGTAGTGCCACGAATAATACATAATACGGAAGTCGTCGTTACATCTGCAAATCGTAGCTAATACGCAAAAAAAATCGGCCCATTTCATTCAGGTCACTTGCGACAACTTCTAACGAAGATTTTCGTTGTCGATTAGCTATGAACTGGCCCAAACGGGTAACTTAACCGGGATCTACGGCCAGCTTAGCCCTATGCTATATGTGTTCCGATAACGATTCAATTCGAGTGCAAAAGCAAAGGGGGCGCGGTCATTGACCTTATGCCACCTAACCGTTAAGTACCTACATCGTTTAAGAGCTCCTTCGAGATACGTCAGGCGAAATCGTTTAAATACCGCGATTTTGTGTCTACCGTCGACCCAAAAATCTTTCTAATTAAGGAGCAAATGGATTCACTTGCACAGATCCGTATTGACCAGAGAGTTTTTACCCGTGAAAAGATCAATAGGCGCTAAAGGTCCTGTGTGTGACGTCGAAAAGTAAAACAATTGTATTGTTTCAGTTTCAGGGGTACGATAACGTGTGTGGCATTTTTTTTATTGAGATCCTTTAAGCCTTTACAGTGCCACTTGAATGCTATCAGCCAAATAAAAGGGAAGACATTTCAAGCTTTAAACATGTTCGACATGTTTAAACATGTCCAGGACGATATCTATGTGCCACCACCTTCCCGGTCGACGAATCGTCCGTAGACGGCACCACTCCGTGTGCGGCGCAGCATGTATGGTTTGGTTTGATTTTTGTCTTCCGAGTGACCAATATATTGCCGAACTGTGCGCAAAACGTTTCGGAAAACCTCGTGGTCCCTATACGCGGCGCCCGGACGCCTCCTTTGCGGCACCCTAAAAATTAATGTAAGGCATGAACTACATATTGAGCTATTGGAATGTGTGCATCACAAATCACCTTTCATTGGTGCGTTGCACTTCCCGTCGCCTTCGTCTTAACTCCAAACGGCGCTTGCAGTCGTATGCGTAATAATATATACAACAACTTATGAGAAGAGCGGCTGTCACGTAAATAAACCAGCTGCAATTGTTCAACATGCTGATGGAAATAAACACCCTTTAAAGAAGCTAGTACATACATACATACATACATACACACATATCCGAGCTAAATAACGCTACTCACATTTTGAATGCTTCATTGACGTCTAGCAAATACTTGGAAACCTTATCCGATTTCCGGACTACACCATCCTTCGGACTGTTCCATAATGTAAAGAACCGTGTCATGTTATAGATCAGTCTGCCGCGTCGTTGTTCTTTTGCCTGATGCCAGCCACCTCGTTCTTTACTTTTCACTGTAAATAGCCTTTTTTCTGTTTCTGTAGTAGTATTGTACGTTTGCAATTTTCTGGTGCACGGGTTGTTGATTGAACTGACCTCGGCTATTGGCAGCTTTGTTTCAATATGTATATCCAGAAAGGCCCAAAATAAAAATTTTTATCAAAACTAATAAAGGGAATCGATACACAGAAAAGAGGAGGGGAAAACGAAAATTTGTGTTTAAAAATGTAATCGAAGTGATTCGAATGAGTTTTTAAACTTCCAAAGTGACGAGTATCGCTGAGCAGCAGGGTAAGAAAAATATTTTTTGGTTCCCTAAGCAAATACCTACAGAAATATTTATTTTTATATACAGGGTGGGCCAAATAAGACCTTCCAATTTCACGCAGCAGGTCCATAGTTTACCTAGCAGTGTGCGGCAGTCGCTCCATCTTGTTGGAACCGCAAATTAGGATGCTGCTATGCCGTTGGCCGCAAAAATTTGTCAATCATTGTCCCGCATTCTCGAAGAAATATGGGCCGATATCTTTTTTTTCGACCATAACTGCATAACTGGGTGCTGATATGCTGCCCTTGGATTTTCAGAGCCCCACGATCTACAGTTTTGCTTGTTGATGCGCTTCATCCGACATCAAAACATTAAATAATTAATTTGGCCCACCCTGTATAATGAACTTAGTTAATGGGCCGTGAGATTAAAAACTAAGCAAATGCATTTTCTTAAAATTTCAGACCTTTTACTCAATTTATTCAAACAAATTTCTGAAATTATAAGAAAATCCAATTGTTTAAACTTTATTCATACGGCCCAATATTTGGTTAGTTCAGGTTTAAGACCTTAAGAAATATTTGAAGAAAACTTGTGGTCTTTTCTTTAATGATTTGGCGACATGAACAAAACGAAACTTGGCCAAATCTTGAAAATATATGTATTGAAACGATTTAAAAGCACTTGGGAGATAGGCTAAAACGTCTATTTTAAAAATAAAGAGATAAAGCAAATTTTTGGCAAAATAATTTTCTAAAAACCTGAGTTGTTCGTTGCTATTTCATTCGAGTACATACATACATACATACATACATACTATGTAAGAGATTACACACAACAAATACATACATATGTATTTGCTTTTGCTTTGTTTTCTACTCTGTGGCGGCACGATTTTTAACTCGCACCTTGAATTGTTTGCTCAATTTCCTTGCTAATGCTGTTGTTGTGTATGTATACAACGTGAGGCAGGTCGACTAGCGAGCAGGGATGGAAAATGAAATTTTCAAAATGTATCTAAACTGAGGAGAAAGTACCTAAAGGCAGAAGAATGTGACCAGGGTTGCCACTGACGAAAAAAAAAAATACTTACCATCAACTCGAAAAAAAATCTACCAAATCTGGAAAATATCTACCAATAACTTTTTTATAGTTATTTTAATAAAAACTATAGTTTTGTTATATTTTTTAGTTATTTTAATTAAGACTATAGTTTATTTATTTTTTTTTATTATTTCAATAAGAATTAAAATTTTTTTTAAGGAACTTTTTATTCAACTAATTATACGTTATTTGAGATCATATTAATGCCATATTCTCAGTTTCCTTCAACCAAGAGCGAAAGTGATGAAACTGAAGGCAACAACGACAAACACAGTGATTCAAAACAGCACTTGGTGATTTTTTTTTAATATTCACAATGTTTTTCAAGTAAAAATGTCTTGTTGCTTTAACTTAATCCATAAAAATCAAGGAGTCAAGCTATATACAACATTCAGAAAAATTAAAAAAAAATTTTGTCTTAATTTCGAATTATTTACTCTGAATTTTTAGAACAATTTAAGGTATGGAGTTTTATAGCAAATAATATTTGAGTATAGTTTTTTATTTTTTTTTGCCGCCAGTCTATTGTAGCTTTTTTTTATTTAACAATTTCCATTGATAACAAATGGCGTTGATTTAATTTTTTTTGCGAACAATCATAGTGCTTATTTACATACCAGTCAATTTTTTCTTTTTATTTAAATAATCATTTAAAATATTTTGACAATCAAAAGCTTCTCGGGAATCCAGTAAAATGAGTTTTGAATGGAGCACGATATGTTCGCCTTATGTCGTATGTAAGTATATAAAAAGTGTGCAAAGAAATTTATAATGTAAAGATAACTACGAAAAATAAAGCGGAAACGAAAAGTTCAACAAAAATCTACCAAAATGACTTACTTACCTTTTTACCAACCCAAATTTTTTCTACCAATTTTGGTAACAATTTACCAAAGTGGCAACCCTGAATGTGACCAAAAATGAATACATATGTACGTGCTTTTTATATGTACATTAGACTGCATCACTCCCTATACAAAAAAAAAATCGGTACTATTTTTCCATTGGAATTATAAAATCTATTATGTTTTAAGACGTCCACCAAAATATTTCGGAAAAATATTAAGATTTAAGTGAGCTGGACCAATTTCAAAATTCCTCCAAAAATGGAGTTTTTTATGAATAAAAATAGTTTCTTAAAAATTTTTTTTTGAAAAAATTGCCTCAAATGACAAAACGGTTTAAACTTAAAAAATTTGCATAAAAATATTAAAAAAAAAATTAAAAAAAAAATTTGAACGGAATCGTAATGATGAGATTTTTGATGCTGTTTTTTTTAACTTTTTTCAAAGATTGGTATAAGAAAAACTTGAATAACTGAGCCGAAACTCTTCTGATTTAGACTTAAGAGGTGTCGGTGGAAAGGTATTTTTTCACCATTTTTATTTCTTTGCTAATAAACTCATTCAGGGGATGAAAGAGAAAGGTAGGATGAACGAACGTCATTCAAAGTTGAATTTGGTATTTGAAAAAAAAAAATTGGGACACGAATGATTTTTTTTGGACAGAAATAAAAACAGTGTGAAAATACCTTTCTACTGAGATCCCATAAGTCTAAATCAGAATGGTTTTGGCCCAGTTATTCAGGTTTTTCGTAAATCAATCTTTTTTTAAAAAATAAAAAAAAACAGCATCAAAAATCTCATTCTTACGATTCCGTTGAAAAGATTTTTAAGCAGATTTTTTAAGCTTAAGCTGTTTCTTTCTTTTTTCAAAAAGTTCTCTACGAAACTATTCTTATTCATAAAAAACTAAATTTTTTGAGGTATTTTCGAATCGGTCCAGCTCACTTAAATCTTAATATTTTTCCCAAATATTTTGGTGAACGCCTTAGAATATAATAAATTTTGTAATCCCGGCAGAAAAACCGCAACTTTTTTTGGTGATGCAGTCTAATGCACATACATACATACATATGTACATCATTAATATTTTGATTTCCAATCATTTTACTCTTGTTTATGTTTAACCAATTCAACAAATGGCAGGTTTTGTCATTTAATCTTGTTCTTCTGCTCTTAAAAATTTCACTAGCAAGAATTTGCAGCTCTGCCGTGTTATTACGCTCTCGATTCAGTACTCTCTTGCAAATTTTTCTGGTTATTATACACTTTTACAGTCAAAATTTGCAGGTTCCAGTACAAATTAGTACTAACTATTTTTTACTATACACACCCATTGCTTTCTTTAAATTCTTACCGTTATGCAAAAACCAAAATTTTTTCATATATTTTCCACATAAATTTAGCAATTCTTCCATGTATAGATTATCTAAAAGATCGTTTAAGTTAAGCACATTTACAATTTCTCAACTTGATCCAAACTTAAAGATAGTTTTAAATTTTCGTTAACCAACACTCTTCAGAAACCCCGAGGCATTGATTAATATGTTATACATAGTTCCAGTTCGAGGAAATTGTTGAAACGGTTATCAATTTCAAATATCTCTTCGTTGTCTTCTAATTTTGAAAGTAATTTACGATCTTCATAACCAAACAACAAATAAGGTAGTATGTATTTAGCTTTTGAGGAGGACTTTTTACTCTTTGGGGAGGACGGAGCCTAAATCCATCTGAGAAAGTAGAGCCTTGACCGAATAAACTTTTTGCCGTCTATCAGCTTGTCACTGCCAACTGTGGTTATGTTATTTTCAGCATTCTTCCGTATCATTTATATGCTCCTACCCCATACAAGTAATGGTTACTCTGGTTTTGGCCCGTGCGGTGTCATTAAATGTCGCGAAAATTCTGATTTAGCTGCGTTGGGCGCCATCCGCTGCTGAGAGTGCTAAAGGCTTATGCAGATAACATTGAACTCTGCAAACCGAAGAACTTCGCAAAAGAAGGTAAACGGTGGGAGAAGTGGCCCACACCGACAAACCCGTTGAAATGCCAATATAAATAAGTTAAGATGTGTTGAAAACTTTCCAAATGTACCTAAAAATCCGAGCTTGTACCTTTATGTACTTTCCAATTAAAAGTGTTGAAAAAGTACAATTGTACGTAGGTACTTTTCCATCACTGCTACCGAGAGTTTGTAAAGGATTTTTGACTTGATGCACGTTTGGAGCTCTGAACGGATGCAATCACTGCGGCTCAAAACTATTGAAATCACTATCGTTTACATAACTACTTAGATTTTCATAAATTCACGTAGTCTGAAAATATACGAATTTCGAATTTGTGTTTTAAATTTGTTTTTGTTTTTACAATGTGAACATAAGCAACGCTTGGCGTACGTGGCATCATCAATTAATTAACAGGAAGTGTGAAGTATTCAATAAGGCCGACTGCTTGTTTTAGATATAAATGTGCGCATGAATATATGTATGTATATGCATTCATATAAGAACATTTATCTACTTAAATAATTACAACTGTACGTACGTGTACATATATACATATTTGCACAAGCATGCATGTCTGTCTGAACATTTGCTCGATGTATAAAGTATTAGGTTTGTTTTGCCTTTTAACGAATCCAAATATCGATAGAAAAACAACAAAACAAACTTAATCACTGGCGAAAATTGAATCATTTATTGCTGTTATATTTGTAACCAAGCGCTTGTGAC